CTCCTCGCTCCTCGCTCCTCGCTCCTGCTCCTGCTCCTGCTCCTGCTCCTGCTCCTGCTCCTGCTCCTGCTCCTGCTCCTGCTCCTGCTCCTGCTCCTGCTCCTGCTCCTGCTCCTGCTCGTTTTGTTGTTTCCTCATCCTGAAGCTGATTCACGATCAGGAAAACAAGAAACGGACACAACGAGAGCTCACGAGTGAGATCGCAAGGCTGCAGGAGGAGGTTGATACTGCCCTCGTCCTTGACGTAGCCTGACTCGCGCATGTTCGACAGCTGGACAAGAACAAAGAGGAGCTGAGAAGCTTGCAGCTCAAGATGCAGAGCATCCGAGAAGAAGTGCAGGCGAGCAGTCGTGATGGAGATGATGGAGATGATGATGATGATGATGATGATGATGATGATGATGATGATGATGGAGATAATGATGACGGAGATGATGGAGATAGAGATGGAGATGATGATGATAATGATAATGATAGAGATAGAGATGGAGATGATGATGAACACAATCATTGCTATAGTGCCTTACAGTGCTGCCGCCTCTCTCAATTTCACCCCTCACATGCTTCAAGACTCTTTCCCTCTGCTTGCCCAGGTCTGACTCTGAGCAGATGGAAGAGCGAGCCAGCATGCAGTCCCATGTCGACAGCCTGAAGGAGGTGCGATGCTGCTGCTGCTGATCCTCCTCTTCCTCCTTCTCCTCCTCCTCCTGCTCCTGCTCCTGCTCCTCCTGCTCCTCCTCCTCTACTTCCTGCTCCTTTGCCTGCTGCTGCTCCACTTCCTGCAGCTTCTGCTCGCGCGTTATGAACCTGGTGGAGCAGACGCAAAGGAACGAGAGGGACTGGCTGAAGAAGCAGCACGAGCAAGAGATGGCAGACATCACAAACAGGTGTGAGAAGCTACTCTTACCTTGCTTGTGAAGCGGGAGGTGCTGTGGCAGGTACGAGGAAAGGCTGAGGGCCCTGGAGTCCGGGAGGAAGGATGCGGAGTACTTGTCGAAGCTGATGGATACCGTTGCAGACTCTGCAGAGAGGGTGAGGAACATTTGAATGTTTGGAGGTTGTGGGGTTGTTGATTTGTGGTTGTGATGATGGAGAAGTTGATTATGATGATGATGATGATGATGATGATGATGATGGTGTTGATGATGATGGTGTGATGATGGTGGTGGTGGTGGTGGTGGTGATGATGATGATGATGATGATGATGATGATGATGATGATGGTTGAGTGTATATTTAATG